CAATCTAATAGAACAACAATCCAATATCACAATATTTCAGTAGCACAATCATCCAAAAGCAGAATAGCACAAAAATCAAACCGATCAGCGCTTCCCTAAATCAAGCCAAGGTATGCTCTTGCAAAAGACAATATTTTCGCTGAGAGAAATATCACGCATGTGATTGAAGCTATTTTCAGACGTACACCGCTCATCTATCGGCATTAATTTGCGTATAAACTAAAATTGTTTAATATCTTAAAGCATCTACCTGGTCAAAGCGTTGTTTTGTTAACGAAAACTGTGGATAACCAGCACTCGGTTGAGTGACTCTCCTGCTCGCTTGGTCCGCCATCTTTAAAACACAGGGCTCCCAATGGATGGGATTGTTTGCTGACCACAGGAATCCCAATGGATTGGGTCGTTGAAGCGCATCGAGCTTAATTAGCGTTAAGCATTTGATGTCGGCCGAAGCCTAAGGGTTAGGTTATTCGGCCCCCAGACCGTAGATGATTTGACTCCTTGCTATGATCAGGAGAACCGAAATTTCGCTTCTGTCTCTGAGCAGAAAGAACCCATGGACATTCTTTTCCATGTGGGATGGGTTGTAAAAACTCTTGAGCATTGCGTTCTGAAAATTTATGCGCAACTTAGCCTTCAAAATCTCAGTTCCGGTTTTAAACAAAAAGCGGAAACCAAAACCGGAAGTAAGCATCTCTTGGGGGATCCGTATGCGCATGCGTAACTAGGTTTGAGTGTCATCTTCAACGCCCTCTTTTTGAGTGCGAGAGAACAGCCTCGAAAAACATTTTATAATATTTTATTGAATTAATAAAAAGATGTCTAGTAAATTATTTCATAGGACAGCAATAKTACATAAGATGGTTGACATGGTTTTTGGTCAACTTCGAAAGCTTTCCATAATGAAGCCACATCGACCACGTACAAAAACCAYGGACAAACAAAGTCATTAGACTCGCCATAAAGGATCGACCATTGCTGATGTTTTGCTCTGGTTTTTGTTTTTAAGATGTCAAAAACCACAAACTGTACATAATCCTTATTTGAAAGGGTYACAGGAATGCATAGCTATATTCTTTTCATTGAGATGGAAAAACAATCAGGGATAAGGCATGCAATGAGCTTAACATTTGACGTCACTAGAAGGGTGTGTTCAGTCACATACAAAAGCATTCCCGCCCCCTTTTGCTATTTTCTATTATACTTAATCTTATTATAATGAATAGTAAACAAGTAAATTAATCCTAACTGGTATAATAAAAGAGATGGTATTTCAGTGTAATTCAGTTAACTAGTTTTCCAACAGCTTACGTTCAAGGACAGTCGAGTTTTAACATTTCCAGCTGTTGAAGAGAGTAGAGGGAATGATAAAGTTGAATTATTTATCAATTTTAGAGACTGATTTCTGGAAAAGAAGTGACAAAGTTATTCAAACTTTACCCAAYAAGCGTCGAATCAAATAATCGAGAAACACTGAAGTATAAATTGTTTTTGGAGTGGAAAAAAATGTCTGGGCATCGCGAAACAAAGCAGCTTTACACGAAAAGTCATAAACGAAAGACAAGAAGATTCAAAGGTTATGAAAAAGAAATGGATAAAGCCTTTGTTTTGATTTTCCATAATATTCTAAGACTGAATGAAGACGACGAAAACCAAGGACTCAGATATCATTCGAAGAACGATGCACAGAATTGCAAAAGATATGGTAGAACTCTTGTTAGAGACAATCCTAGAAGAAATAGCTGCTGTTCTGCAGGAAATGACCAATTTTTATTCAAAGAGAATGTGGAAAACGGAGTTAGTAGACATAAGCAAGTATCATCGAAGAAAAAAGTTAGCTTTGTTGAATTGTAAAAATTATTGCTCGTTAACGACCCACAAACCCGAGTGGTAGTTACACCAACAGCAACAGCAGCAACAACAACAACAGTTATCTATACGTATTTATTGATGGCTTTTTGAATTGAACCATAAGATGTCCCAAGTGACAAAAGAATTAAGAATTAAAAATTACACTCATTCAGCAAACAACTAAAATATGCGTTTCAAAAACCCACACTGAAGTATATATTGTWTTTAAACATCAAAATTTAAAATTTACAGTTAAAATTTTCAAACAAATTAAAAGAAAAATGTGCCTTAAAACTTTTCTAACGAGTTGTTTTCGAAATTATAGATAATTTTGACGTACACACTCAATGCAAACTTATTTTAGTTTATGCACTAGTTTTGATAAAATGAAAACGTAGTTTTWCATTAATGGTTGAAAATATCTTCAATGTAAAGGGAAATTTTTTTGTCTTTAATTTAAAGGGAAAATTTTGCTTAAACTGGTTTGTATATGATTTWAAAATATTTTATAGAATTAGAGCTTTAAAAAGAAGTATTTTTATTTTTCCAATTGATTTTAGGATATTATAAAGTTATTTTCTTATTTTCATGTTCTAAGAAAGACAAATTTTGTTTCAATCTGGAGAGAGTCACTTCCGGTTATAATTTTGGCGCCAAAAATGTAAATTAGAACGGACCGGAAATTACGTCACAAGATTATATTTGATAAAAATATGATTATGAAGTACATTATTCCAGAAGTTAGTGTTTTCTTAGTTTTTTTCTATGATTTAACTTWAAAATGCCTATAAAATGTTGTATATCTTAGAAGAGGAGGGCTTTTTTCTTATACTGGTTTTGCTTCCACTGTGGTAGCTTGTAGAATTCTTCTCTCGGCATTGAGAAAACTTTCTGGAATTCTTCTGGCGTTAGGTAGGTCTGGAATAAAACACAAAAATAGACGTTTAAAAGCTCATAAAGAGCTATCGAAAAAAGGTCATTATTTTGGTAGTWATTGTCAGCGAATGTAAAATTATTAACAGTCAACTGACCATTGGCCAAAAAATTGTACAACTGACAATCGYGTACTCTCATCCACAACTCCTKGGCCCGGTTGTACGAAGCCTGAATAGCGCTATCCGGCGGATAAATCCTTATCCAGTGSATAAGTCGATGCTGTTATCCAATAAATTTATCCACTGGATAAGATTTATCCGTCGGATAGCGCTATCCAGGCTTCGTACAACCGGGCCGTGAAGGCTTATAAAATCCAACATGGCTGCCATATATGCGTTCTTTTAGTTCAATGTCTCACCTCAAGCATTGTCTTGTCCACGCCTTTTGGCAGTTGATAGTTGCTGGTCATGAGTTCCGAATATCGATARTATCGCTATGGAAACACAAGTATGGTCAAAAATAGTCTTCAATAATAGGACAATCCAAGACAATGGTTTTACTCATGAATAATGAATTAAGATCTCACTATTATCAAACCCTAAAACAACCTCTGGACTGATCTAAGTCAGGGCACGGCTAACTCACAGATAGAACCCTGAAACAACCTCTGGGCTCATCTATGTCAGGGCATGGCTAACTCACAGATAGAACCCTGAAACAACCTCTAGGCTGATCTAAGTCAGGGCGTGGCTAACTCACAGATCAAACCCTGAAACAACCTCTGGGCTGATCTAAGTCAGGGCATGGCTAACTCACAGATAGAACCCTGAAACAACCTCTGGGCTCATCTAAGTCAGGGCATGGCTAACTCATAAGTTGCATTGGAATTCTGTAAGGTTTTGCGAAGGGAGGAAAACCGGATAACTCGGAAGGAAAAAACCATTGAATCAAGAGAGGTCCCTTACGAACTCTACTCATGTGTGTGGGTCAATGACCTCTACTGATGATTCATTAAAAGAATTACATAAAGTACAGTACTTACGTCGGGTTGAGGCTGTCCATCGATATTGTTGTAAGACATTTCTTTTGAAGGGAGAAAAAAATATTTTTTAAACAACAACAACAACGACAACAGTGCCATTCTAATGTATACCAGCTCACTATCACAGTCACTTCTAAGGCACAAGATGCAACAGGTATAGTTTGGATCAAGCAAACGACCATGTAAAAATTTGTACCCAAGCCTGACCAGAATGCACCTTGTTCCCTATCCCATGTCTAGCTTTAATCAACACCAAATAAGGCATGATATAACAAAGGTGTTTGTACCCTAGCTAGACCAGAATGCACCTTGTTCCCAATCCCAGGTCTAGCTTTGATCAACACCAAATAAGGCATATATAATAAAGGTCTTTGTACCCTAGCTAGACCAGAATGCACCTTGTTCCCTACCCAGGTTTAGCTTCAATAAACACTATATAATGCAGGCTGACTCAAGCTAGACAATAATGCACAGCGTTGCCTATTACCATGGTAGGACGAGTCTCTCTGCATCAGCTTGTCTTTCTGTCAAAAAAAAAAAGGAAAACAAAATTTGGATTTTTACAACAAAAACGTGTCCCCCCTGCCGAACTATAGTACCAAGTACAGTGCCTTAACTTTTTATGAATGTGGAAAATGTACATGTGCCGTGCCGGCGCATTTTGATTGAATAAGCAGGAACCTTACGCGTTCGGATTGATTCAGTGGATGTCGTTATTTACTTTTTTAWTTTTAAGTTTTTCTGACACGACGTTTTAGACTCAGACGTAAATTTATCCTAAAATATCTCATCTGCTGTGTTAGATATATGTTGTTTGAAAAGTTTTTGTGTGAATGAACACGGTCGTGACACGGCAAGACATACGCCAGACCAATCACATTGCACGAGAATTTACTCTCCATCCAATCAAATGCCCGGAACACGGTATGAACACGGTCACGCCAAGGTCACGTCACTGCCAGACCAATCACATTGCGCAAAAAAAAAAAACACAAAAAAAAACCCGCCAATCAAAATTCTAGAAAACATCACAGTTGCGGCACTATCCATACGGCACCGAAACGAGTGAAAAATGTATGCGCATGCTCTGAATAGTATGCAAATTAGTCAAAACATAAGTAAATTTGACTTTCAAACATGCCTGATAAATTGGACTTCACAAAATGCCAAAACGTAATGTCCATGCTTGAAAGTTAAGGCTAATTCTTTCATATTGTGTTTGTTAATACAGTATCTTGGTCTGACAAAAGTTTCCTCTCGAACGTTTTTGTATACTTGGAGAAAACAAACACTTCTATTTTCTCACTCAAAATTCTTAGAACGTGCTGAAGTGCACGCATGCGCAAACGGTTTTCCCTGGTCTACGGCACCGACTTTTTCACAGTCATACGAAAACTGCTCTAGTTTCGTYATTTTGTGCTTACGTCTTCAGTGCTGTATCGTCGAACACGAGGAGCACCTTTGATGTCCAGAGGAACTTGAATGTCACTTCTGTGGGCAGGTTTCTAGTAAAAACAGTCAAACATCAAGAATTTAAAAGATGCGTTCAATGAAAACGAGTTTAGTTCCGATATGAGGAATCAAAGGTGATGTAGCAGTAAAAAAATCTTTAGTTTTAAAAGTGTGTAGTCGGAGGGTTCTGAAGGGCAATCTCAATCTCATTCCCAGTGCATAAAATCCCATTTTCTCAGCCCCAAAAAGGCGAATCCTAGTTTCCATTTTACCCTTTCAGGACCCTCTAGTCGTTCTAGCGCTTTCACTYACACACACCACTACATTTAATATTCCATGCACACATCGCTCAACTCACATATTGTGAGTACAGTTTGTTAGGTCTCTCCCTTGATTCAAGGKTTTTTYCYYCGGGTTYTCCKATTYTCYTTCCTCCGCAAAACTTTACACCTTSATTCAATGAAAATGAGCCGAKTTTCGCYGWTATGGAGAATCAAGGAAGGATAATGGAAATGCATTCACCTTTCAAATCTCGGGTCGCGGTTTCTATTCCTGGACTCCGCATCACATGTGGGTTGTGGCTACCGAGTCACACTAGGCCTGAGGTCACGTGATGCAGAGCACGTGCGGACTGTTAAGATTGTCTAATTTTGGTGTCAGTCTAGTTTGTGTTTTATAAACATGARAATGGATTCGAACAGTCCGGTAAGAACTTTCAAATTTTAAGCCTTGATTTTTCTTTTATAATTCCCTTTAAATCTGTAAACAGGTTAATTCAATAATTTCCTTTGATTTATTCAGAAAACCGACCAAGAATAACGACTACAGCTATTGCACTAATAGATTTGAAGTGAAGCGAATCAGTAGTCGAGTTCAAAGATTGTATCTTGATTCATTCAGCGGACAATGTGACTGGACTCACATGAGAAGAGTTTGTAAGGTCTCTCCCGTAATTGAAGAGTTTTTCTCTGGATTTTATAGTTTACCTCTCTTTGCCAAAGCTAACAGAATTAATATAAGTAAGTTTGTAGACTGAAAAGGAAAGAATGAATCTTACCTCCGAAGATGGCGGGGGATTGTCACGTGATCCATCTGTAAAGAAACATTTTAAATTAGGGTTATTATGTGCCGCAGGGGGAGGAGGAAGGGGACAATGGTTATTATAAACAAAACACAAAARCGGGCAAAAACATTAATACCCACTAGCATGGAAGCATGAATGTGGTTAGTAAGTATT